CCCCCGGCCCCGGCCAGCCGCCCTCGCTTCAGCTCCGAAGGGATGCCCGAGCACGAGGGGCTGGAAGCAGCATCGGGCTCTTTAAACTACTTGGCCCCAGCTGCTTCTCTGTTCTGGCACACTTGCCTCTCCCAGCTGAATTTTTCAGAATATTTTTATCAGCTTTTCCTTTTTTTTGCCAAAAAATGACTTCTTGTCAACAAAATGTCCTTTTTGCCCGAGCCAAGCAGCCGGGCGTGTTTTCCCCAGCCCCAGGCCTGACCCAGCGTGTTCCTCCCTCGGTGCTGGCGCACTCAGGGGCTGTCAGGCTCACCAGCCTGTACGGCCGTGACCCGTTCCTGTCCCAGCGCAGACCGCAGAGCCCAAGCCACCTGGGGCAGCTTGGTGTAAACGTCACCGGCTCCCAGGCCTGCCTGTGTGGGGCTGGGTTGTCCCTGGCTCAGCAGGCTCTAGGAGGATCTCCCATCAGTACAGGCAGATCCCAAAGGTGCTTTCCTGGCAAAGCCGATGAGGCAGCGAAGTCCCAGGCAGCGTGTGGTCGGGGGTCTCGGGGGCCCTGACAGACGAGAGGCAGTGCCTGGGGTGCTGCTGCGAGCAGGGACGTGTGACTGTGGCTCTGTGCCTGCCAGAGAGGACCTGAATCCAGCCTTGTCAAACAGGCTTCCCCGCGTGCTGGGTAAACTGGGGCAACAGGGAGAGCCTGGGTTCCTCAGCCACCTGGGTGGGACTCAGCAAGTTTCGGGGGTCTCGGGGGCCCTGACAGACGAGAGGCAGTGCCTGGGGTGCTGCTGCGAGCAGGGACGTGTGACTGTGGCTCTGTGCCTGCCAGAGAGGACCTGAATCCAGCCTTGTCAAACAGGCTTCCCCGCGTGCTGGGTAAACTGGGGCAACAGGGAGAGCCTGGGTTCCTCAGCCACCTGGGTGGGACTCAGCAAGTTCCTCTCGCAGTCCAGAGCCAGGGCAGGAGTCCGTGCCGAACCAGAGCACGGCATAATCTGCCTGGAGCAATGGCTCAGCTCACGCGGCGGGGAAAGTAAAACCCAGGATGGAGCTCATTTTTCCTTTCAGAAATAACTTCAATCGTCCCAAGCTGGTTTGGAAACTACTGGTGCTAGGAAAAAAGGGAACAGCAGCCAAGCAAGGGCTCTGCTGCGCTTTCATCGGGAGTCACAGAGTTTTGGGTTTATGTCCAGCTTCCCCCAAGCCTGCTGCTGGTGACAGCGCTTTGAAGGTCTCCAGCGCTCCTTCATTTCGAATACGGGCCTTATGGGACGCTGACGCGGGAGCTGGTATTGCAGCGGGGAGCCAGGAGGAGATGCCACGCGTAGCCTGGGCACAGCACGTGCCAGAGAGCCGTCCTGTTTCTGTGCAGTACTGCGATCGCTCCTTTAGCGAGCTCGTGCCACTTACGTGCCCCTTTTTCTGAGGATAGTCTGCTCCCAAATGCCCTTCAGCTGTGCCCCAGGGAGCTCAGAGTTAACTTCTCAGCAGCCATCTGCTGGGTTTTTTTCTTTTACCAGACTATAAACTTTGTGTGGTTTCCTTAATGGGAAGAATTTAATACGGCTTCTGGCACTAGCTGCGTTTCCTACTGAAAGTTTGTGCTGCTCAGGGTGTTCCTTGTAGGACGTGCAGCATCCGAGCACGAGCTGGAGCTGTCGACAGCTGGCGGAACGTTACGGAGTCAAACCCAGAAGGCAAGGAAGCCTGCAGCTTTGGGCAGTTGCAGGCTGTCCCCAGGGGGAGCACCGGGAGACTGGCACGTTTGGTTTGCAGTGAGGAGGCAGAATTTGGGAACCTCCCAATGCCTCTTTTGCGGCTTTGCACGGCCTTGTATGATCCCTCTGCAGAGGCCCAGCTATGCCGGAGCGACGCTGTGGTCAGCAGGGAGGATGAGGAAGGTCCTGAACCATAACTGCCTTGAGTTTCCCCTGAAGTTGCTTAGTTCAGCCCTAGTTCCTCTCTCTCTCTTCCCAAAGAAAGCTATCTGTTTCTCAACTGGGATGTGTTGTCCCTGAAGAGAGGGTGTCCCAGGACTCCTAATGGTGAGCTTGAGGTCTCTCTGAGTAGCAGCTCTGAAGCAGCAGCAGCAGCAGCTCGTTTGTGCTGGTGTTTTGGTCCTGAGGCAGCAGGCTCCGTGCGTGTGTCCAGGTACGCTGGGGGACGTTCGCGGTGTTCGATCGGGGTTGTGTGCCTCTCCCTGAACTGGGGCTGGTTTTCATGCGCGAGGAGCAGAGATGTCACCTCCAAAGGCCACGGGGATGTTGGCTGAAATCGGAAGCCGCTTCTTCTGTAGCCAAGTGGGCTGTGAGCAGGGGCGAGAGGACCAGTGCCTGTGTGGGACCCTGCCGTGCCTTGGCTATTGCTCCCCCAGCAACCATCCGTGGTCCAGAGCGGTGGACAGCTGCTGGTCCTTATCCTTAGCCAAGCGCTGTGCGAACGGTGGCTGCAAAGGTGCTTTCCTGCCCTCGCCCTGGGGAGAAGCTGCCTGAGCTGCTCTGCTCAGCCCTGCCCTGGGCTGTTGGTGTCCCAGCTCCCAGCACAGGGCCATGTCTCTTGACTAGGGAACTGTGGTGTCATCTTTCCTGTCTCGTACTGGTTTTTGCTGGGTACCCGTGTCTCGGCCAGGAGCTGCCTGGGAAATGTTTCCAGGCTTTTCAGCAGCTAATCCCTGACCCTCTCCCGCTGCTGCTGCCCTGGTCTTGTTGTTGTTCTGGTCTCGGCTGAGGGAGGATGACGGGATATCTGGCTGCCCCTCCTGTCTCCCAGCTTGATCTCAGCAACCACAGAGAGAAAGAAATCTCATGTGCTGCAAATTCCTCCCTCCTGTCTGCGGGGTGGCTGCCCGTGCAGAAGAGACAGCTGGGAGGTGGACAGATTGGTCGTGTTCGTGCAGGCAGGAGGTGTAGGACGCCCCTTCCCATGTCTTTCCTCTGGAGGAGGAATCAGAACTTCGCCGTTTTGTCTGAAAGCCTTCTGCGAAGGGGTCGGACTCCGGACGCCGGCCCTGGCGTGCTGTGTTCAGACTGGGTGCTTCCCTACTGCCCCAGCTCGCCTTTCCCTGCGGTTGTAGAGCGGTGGGAGGCATCCCTGGGCGAGGGACCGTGGATGCTCAGCTACGGTCCCTCCTTCTGACGTGGCAAATCTCTTGGGAAGAGACGTGAAGGTGCTGTGTAAGTGTCTGTGGTCCCCTTTAAAGACTGCTGCGTGCCCCGTCACGGTGCGGAGAAGCCCAGCTCTTCGGCCGGGCATCGCGTGCAGCAATGCTCTCCCCTGCCTGGGCTGTCACGCTCTGATTCCCACTCTCTGCCAAATCTCACACCCTTTTTCCTGCTCAGAAGCTTTCCCATCTGTTCACCTGGGGTGGACCGCGGACCAGGCACGCCTGGCTGGGCTGGCAGCCTGGCAGAGCGGGGAGAGGCACTGCTGGCTGCACAAAGCACCCTTGTCATTGCCATAGCGGCCGTGCCGCAGGGGCTGGGTCAGATCCTCTCTGCCCCGGGATGGGCAGCTCAGCCCAGCCAAAGGTGTCCTGCAGCAGAGGAGGTTTCCCCTGTCCTCAGCAAATAATAACTGGGTGCCTCCGAGGGCCCCGGGCACCGCAGGAGGGGGCTCCCCACCG